TATGTGGTTTCTCCCCAGTGTGGGTCCTTTGATGTAACCTAAGGGTACCACTCTGACTAAAGCTCTTTCCACATTCCATACATGGATACATTTTCTCCCCTGCATGTGTTCTTTGATGTCTACTGAGGTGACATGCATTTACGTGGTTTCTCTCCTGCATCAGTCCTTTCATGTAAAGTCCATGCCTGCCCATTCCTATTTTCAGTTCTCTGTTTTCTTGCTTGATTGCGAGTTCCTGCCCAGGTTTTTCTGGATGTTGCTTGGCAATTCTCCTGTTCATCGTCATCTTTTAGATTAGAAAAAGAAGAGAAACAATTACTTCCAGAATCTGCAGGAATAAGGAATGATGTGTTCGGGCTCCGCCTGAGTCACAGAGTAGGAAGGAAAGAAACAAAGCGAAAAAGGTGAGGGAAGAGAACCAGGGGAGGGGATGATGCCAGACAGAAAGTTATTCCTTTGGGCTTGAGGTTGGATGGGCTCTTCAGTGAGGGACCATATGGAGGGAGGAGTCATGAAGGGAGGATAATTTCCACACCCACGTAAGTACATCGAATTCAAAATAGATTAACTTTTTTCCTTCTCAAATTCTCCCCAATGATGCTACTTAAGTTTCCAGAAAATTAGAAAGAAATTTCTCAAAGTTGATTAAAGAGCAAACAGATAACTGAATTAAAGTATTTTTTAAAGCAAAAATCAATAACCAGGGGCAAAAGGACAGTGGTAGAAAGGAAGTGTAAAAGTGGATGAATGCAGCTAGATTATTAGACTTGAGAATGGGTAAAGAGAAGTTAGTGGTAGATGCCGGGGACTGACAAAGTCTGCAGAGATTATTATTCAGAGGGTGAAGAGAAAGGACAGGTCCACGAAAGGGATGGGATGTAGAATTTATAAAATGCTATTACGGGTAAAATCATCAGGAATTTCTGAAAACAGGATAGGAAGCAGATTGGTCAAGGAAGTAGATACTCAGTTAGTATAATTTTAGAACTGCAGAGCTAGAAGGGAATGAACTCCCAACTTCTGGATCCCAATTTAGGTAGTTAAACCAATGTGTATGGAAAGGGAGAAGAATTTGATAAACCACATCTGTGAGAATAAAAGCAAACATTTAAACATTGAAATTCAGAAGGTATTTGACCCCAGCTAAATTAAATACAGTATTACAAATTCTAAATGCTGCATATTACAGTAGTACCTCGGTTTACGAAATCAATTGTCCTTCAGGACATTATGTCATGCAAAAAATACATAAACCAGAATGTGGGTTGCCATAGTGATGGTGGCGGCGCTACAAACCTCCAGGCACAGGGAAACTTCCTTCACAAAGTGAAAGAAATGGGGAAAAAGACATTTAAACAGAGGCATTATTCCGAACTGATTTCCATTTGTAAACCATAAATTATGTAAACCAAGGTGTACAGAAAAGGAGATACTACTGTACCTCAAATGTCTTGTTCTTGGAAGTGCTACCTATTAAATGCACAGGGCCAGCTATCTATCTATCTATCTATCTATCTATCCTGTCTGTCTCTATCTATCTATCTATCTATCTATCTATCTATCTATCTATCTATCTATCTATCTATCTATCTATCTATCTATCTATCTATCTATCTATCTATCTATCTATCAAATTTATACCCTACCCATCTAGACCAAAGTCTACTCTGGCAGCTAATAAAAGGAATAAAAAGAATATAATAAAATAAAATACAACGAAAGTAATATAGTTCAAGATGGAGGTAAAAATTCAAGTGATGACAGGAGGGAAAGCCTGCCTAAAGAGCCAGGTCTTACGTTTGCTCTTAAAAACACCCAGCGAAGGAGCCAGTCAGATCTCGAAAGGGAGAATGTTCCAAACGCGAGGGGCCACTGCTGAGAAGGCCCTGTTTCTTCTTTTTTCTCTCTGGACCTCTCTCTGCATTAGGCCCCTCAGCCACCCTTCCTGGCTAGAATGAATGATTCAGGTAGATCTAGCTGGGAGGAGGCGTTATGCTAGATATCAAGGTCCTGAACAGTTTAGGGCTTTATATCATCATTAACACTTTGAAAACAATGCGGAAATGAATGGGCAGCCAATGCAAGGCAACCAGAGTGGGGGAAATATGCTATTTTCTCGTCCCAATGAGAATTCTGGCCACCGCATTATGCACCATTTGAAGTTTCTGCATCAATCTCAAAGTTAGCCCCACGTAGAGTGCATTGCAGTACAGTGGTGACTGCATAGCGACGTTAATCCGTTCCAGGATTAACGTCGCAATCCGGAAACATCGCTAAACGGAATAAAAAACTCCATAGGAATGCACTAAACCTAATTGGTTC